GTATAGTGCGCAGGGTTTCAAACGAACTGAAATTACTGCGCATCCCTTTTACAGACTTAGGTAGCGTCTACTACGCACAGCGAAAGTTATCACAAGATTGTTTTTTGCTTTTGTAAAGTGTTTTACGGCGCTCGCAACTGCATAGGTCATATGAGCGCGCGGGACACACCTAATTTTTTTTTTGGTGGGAAATTTTGAATTTTGCCCGGGTGGCGGCCGAAACCTACTCTTATCGATTTTAGACCACCAAGGGATCTTTAACGTGTGCAACTTGCACACGCGCCCTCCGAGATTTTTCACCCTTGTCCGAGAAGGCTAGGTGTAGATCTTTCCTACCAGAAGATCAGGGGTGTGGCAGAAAGACAGCAGTAAGGAGGAGCCAAGGAGTAGCAGTAGAAAGGCTGCAGAAAGAGTCAGGAGCCCAGAGGAAGGGGCAAAGGCGGTGAGGGGGTAGGGGCAGAAAGTGGAAATGAAAGCAGACAACAGAACATTGCTCGAGAGCAGGAAAGGAGGTGAAAGGAGACAATTTTAGAAAAGAAAATTTTTCGGTCGCTACCCGGATTCGAACCCGGGACCTTTGAATGAGAGGCCAACACCTTAACCTCTAGGCCATGAGAGCCCCTATCACAAGATTGAGTGTGTTTTGCTACACAAAACTGCATGAAATGATGTATTCCGCTAGATAACTGCACTAACGTTTATTTCTGATCTAATTTTTATTAAAAAGTGTACCCAGACTTGTGAAAAAATTAACAAACCGCTATTTTCAGCTGATAGTCGCGTCGCGTCAGCTCCCATTTTAGAATCAACAGTTTCAAAATGGCAGCCTCCATGAGCGCATCGTACGACGAAGTTGCGAAACTTTTGAACCTGAATGAAACTGATTCAGCAGCATTTTCAGGCCTTGTGAACGAATATTTTGCTGCAGACGACCGTCAAGAAAATGATTCAAGTTGTGAAGAGGACGATTTTGCGGACGAAATTGGTAAGTGTAGCGTCCCATCCCCCCCTTTACTTTGGGTTAAAATCTCACAGCAGACACAAGATCAAGATCTAGATCTAGATCTAGCCTAGCTTGACATTCTACATACACAGTACACAGTTTATGTATTTCTATTGCTTAGATCTAGATCTAGTGTATACTTCGATTGTTTAATGGAATAAGCCTTTTATTTCTAACTAGATCTAGTGCTAGATCTAGATCTAAATCTATTTCTCGAGTCCTTGTTTCCAAGTTGTTCTGATTGTGGAAACTTGTTGCTTTTGTCAAAAGCAGGCTTCCTCTATTAAATTCTATAGTAGTCTATACCCCATGCCAAGCCAATCAACTGTTTAAGTTTGTACTATTCTAGCTGAACTGAACATTATGCACCCAGTTTTGGATCTATAGGCCCACCTATTAGATTTTTGACGAAGAGTATTTCTGAACGCACACCAAGTAAACACTAGGCTACTAGATTCTAGATCTAGGCCCAATGCTCTTACTATGCTTGTGAAAAGGGAAATTAAATGTAGATTCTCGACCTATTAAGGGCAAATCAAATTCAGCTGTAAAACCTCTCACATGAAGGCCACTGGTAGTGGACCTATCCATGCATTGTACTCAGCATGGACAATGGCTTTGGCAGGTTGTTACACCGAATCTTCACTAAACATTTGAACTGGTATGTTATGCAGATGAATGCTGAGCTTCTTAAAATTATTGTGCCTTTGTTGAAATGTACACACACTTTTTTCAACCAGGTGCCGAGGCATCTGAGGCGACTGAGTATGAATCAGCCTTTGTCCCAGTCAACCCAGACCTGGCAGAGAGGATTGTGCCACTGAATCGGGATAACCCCGACGTGCCCGTTCAAGACCTTGGACCTGCAGGGGATACGTCAGCTATCATCAAAGAGAACATTCAGTGTTCGTGCAAGGGTAGACCACCATGCTACTCTCCATATTCAGTAGCAGACATCGAGGAGTTTCGTCTGCAGTATTTGGCTCTAGATCGAAATGAGCTAGATATGGTACTGCTGGCAAAGATTGCCTGTGGCATTCATCTGGATGATGTTACCAAAGCATTCTTCCCAAACTGAGCGCAAAACTCAAAGGACCGACTACAGTCATCACGGGCATCCAATCTGCAGAGATTTCTTCAGATACGTACATGGCATCAGTCTTGACAAACTGACAGCCCTGTTAAAGCACTACAAGGCTAAAGGTGTGGAGGCAAGGGCCCACAAAAACAAGAAAAAGTTGCCAGCTAATGCCCTTTCTTACCAAGACACAAGAAGGGTAGTAGACTACATCGTCAACTACGCAGAAGTGCAGGCAATCCATCTGCCTGGCAGGAAACCCAAGCACTGGGTCACAAACATCCAACTTTTACCGACAAACTGTACCAAGAAAGCAGTGTACGACGAGTACAAAGCATCAGCCGAACTAAGTAGCGTTCGAGCAGTCAAGCTCCGCACATTCCAGCATTTGTGGAAGACCTTACTTCCTTTTATAAAAACAATGCCTCCAGCCAGTGATCTTTGCTGGACATGTCAACAGGGAGCGACCAGGCTCCTCAACACGACGCGGGACTTTTCTTCTGGTGAAGCTGGAGAGAGATAACTATATTGAAGTTTGTCAGAGGATAAAGAGTCAAATGCCAGAGGGAGCAAAACTTGAGCCACACAGTCACTGCTCTTTTCAAGGAGCAAACCACCTCTCCTTCGACTTTGCACAACAGGTGCATTATCTGCATAATCCGCTCCAGCCGGGACCAATTTATTTTAAAACCCCAAGAAAATGCGGAATCTTCGGAATAAATTGGGAGGCCCTGAAGAAACAGGTGAACTACCTCATTGACGAGGCACATTCTTGTGGCAAGGGAGCCAATGTCGTCGTATCTCTCCTACACGACTACCTGGAAAATCATGGGCTCGGAGAAACCCATCTCTACCTGCACGCTGATAATTGTGCTGGTCAAAACAAAAACAGCACAATGATCTGGTACCTTATGTGGAGATGTCTGACACAGCGACACCAGAAAATTACCCTCAGTTTTCTTCTAACTGGCCACACAAAATTCGGCCCAGATGGTGGCTTTGGGCTCATCAAAAGAAAACCGGGTCGACTGCCTCGAAGATATAACAAATGTGGTGAACTGTTCATCGGAAATGAACGAGGCAAAACTTGTTGGGAGTGAGCAGGGACCCTCTCAAGTTTTGACATATGATTGGGCACTCTATCTGGCCCAGTACTTCAACAAAGTGAAGAACATAAAAAAATACCATCATTTCACAGTAGACAACAGTGGTTTCCTGAAGATGAAGGAATATGCAGACGCTGAAGAGCAGGAACAGATTTTGGTGAAGAGGCAGCCTGGCATCAGCACCATGCCCCCAGTTATTGTTACCAAAGGTTTGGATGCCAAACGCCAGATGTATCTGTACCAGGAGATACGCCCTTTCATCGCGGATCGTATGAAAGACATCGTTGCTCCCCTACCACAGACTACTGAACAGCCTTCAGACATGGAGTCTGACGACACGGACACTGAAGATAAGCAGCCAGCTTTAAAACAACACAAACCAAGTCAAGCCACTGTAAGGGGCCGGGGTCGTGGGAGACCACGCGGCCGCGGTCTTGGAGTAAGGAAGTAACCCCCCCCGCCCTCGGAGTAATAGCAAGAACACTTCACATCAAACAGTGAGTAAAATTCTTCAGTTTTCTGTGTTGACATTTTGCAGTTTACTTGTAAGGTCTGAATTTGGTTTAGGAATGGCTTTAAGATGCCTCAGAATTCAACAAAATCCATTTTTCTTTAATTCTCTACTTTAAATGCGATTTTCTCAAAATGTCAGTTTTATGGGTGAGTTCACATATTTTGCCATAACTTTTGAACGAAACAAGGTATTAACCTCAAATAAACTGCAAAATGCTCAGAAATGAGTGGGGAACACATTGCAATCAAAATCTCAATGATCTCTCGTGGTCAGATGTGACTGATTTTCCTATGCACGCACACAAATTAATTTACTTTTGTGTTTTAACATCATTTTTAAACTTTGTTTTGGTCAATTTGATCGTCCACACCAATAGACAGTATTCAGAAAGAGACAGAGAGAGAGAGAAGAGGGGAGGAGTTGATCTTGCGAGAACTTCCGGGCGGGTGAGAATAGCCACTTTCTTTTTACGGCACAGAATTCTACAATTCTGTTATCACAGTATAGAATTCTGTGGTTCAGGGTGAACGCTTAACTGGTTGGCCTAGACTATACTATAACGGTGAACGCCCATCGGGTGAGAATAGCCAAAAGACTCGCCTGCGCTATTCTCACCCAGGGTGAGAATAGAGGTGGCCATAATATAAACAATCTCAGCAATTGTCGTACCTCAAACTTGTATACACACACACACACAAGCGCACACACAGCCCAAGCAGTCGGCCATGAAACTAACATAGATCTAGAAGATCTAGATCTAGTCTAGATCTAGATCTAGATCTAGAGACGAAGCCCATCGCACGCTATGTGGCAAAGCGGGCCCGCCACGGTAGTGAGATCTAGTCAACTGGCTAGGGAAGCCCGGGAAGACAACAAAAATAGATTGCGGAAATACATCATCCATATTTGGGCCAAACACAGGTGTACTAAGATGGCTAGGTGCTCGCTGCAGCTTCATCAACTTCATAGGTTTCATTAACTAGATCTAGATATATCTAGTAGTTTCAATTTCAATCTTTCTTCAAGTGCTTGTGAACAATGTGCTTACAAAGCCTCCCAGTATCAGATCTAGAATCTAGATCTAGATATCTATATCCCATTTGAGCAGATAATAAGTACATCACACCTCGTAGAACACATAATATGTAACAATTCAGTCACAGACTCATTAATTCTCTGAAAACAATGTAAAACGCCTCTTCACTTCCAGACTTCAGAGAGTTATCGAAATTAGGATATTTTAAACACGGCCAAAAACATTTTTCAAAAGAAGAGAAAAAATGTGAAATCAAAACTCACCATAAGCATATACCCCTCTCAGTAATTCTTCCCTCAAGCCCATATGATCAAACGTCGGTGTGACATCAACATCTTCACTTGTTTCGAATTCAATATTCTTCAAATCGTCGGGCATAACGCGTCGTTCCGCCATGTTGTTGTGGTTGAAGAGAAAGAAAAGTAAAAAGATAAACTTGTGGATTTTTAAAAAGCGGTCTTGTCAAAACGGCTGCAGTTCAGCGAAACAAATCTCGACGTTTTCCAGGTTTGCTGTGAGTGAGTGTTGATTATTATGTGTATAAGAAACGAGGCATGGATTGACCTAAGCAAAATACAAAATATTAAAAAAATATACTTGGATAACCTGAGCAGGATATGGTAACCTGGAAAGACCAAGATACGATACGTTTTCTGAGAGCATTATCCGTGCAAAGAAATGAATGGCCAAACATGATCGCCGACGCGTTTCCGACACATAATAATAACCTAGCTGGCACTTTAGGCTCGTATGATCACTTGAGCAGCCTATGTATTTAGATTCTCCATAATCTTTGGTACGATAGTAACGAAACGAGAAGTAGATCGGGGGCTCTCGTGGCCTAGAGGTCAAGATGTTCGCCTCTCAATCAAAGGTCCCGGGTTCGAATCAGGGTAGCGACCGAAAAAAAATAGCCTTCCCGGAGGTCCCGCGTGCAATTTGGGCACGTTAAAGATCCCTCGTCGGTGGTCCAAAATCGATAAATAAGAGTAGGCTTCGGCTGCCACCCGGGAAAAGTTCTAAATTTCCTACCAACTGAAAATGTTTGGTGTGTCCCGCGCGCTCATAGATATCTATGATCTTATGCAGTAAAACCAACAACAAAAAAAAAAGAGAGAGAGAGAGAGAGAAAGAGAGAGAGAATAAATCTAACAGCACGAACCTGCTATTAGAGTAGGAAAGCTTGGATCTCCAACCTGCCCTATCGGTGAAGAAGAAGGTCTGGCTCTCCCTCATCCCATATTATATGTGTATCTGTCTGTCTATCTGTTTACCTGTCTATTTCTCTCTCTCTCTCTCTCTCTCTCTCTCTCTCTCTCTCTCTCTCTCTCTCTCTCTCTCTCTCTCTCTCTCTCTGATCTCTCTCTCTCTCTCTCTCTCTCTCTCTCTCTCTCTCTCTCTCTTTCTTTCTGACCTCTCTCTCTCTGTGTGTGTGTGTGTGTGTGTCTTTCGACACCCTTATCTAGGCCTATCTAGCTATCTATCTGTCTCTCTATCTATCTCTCTATCTATCAACTATCTTATCTATCTATCTACCTATCTATGATTGCGAAGTTTTGCCTAACAAAGAAAATTTAATGGTTAGCCCCCTTCCACTAACAAAAGTTTTTGCCGCTGCTTTCAGTGTCGCATCCGTCTGATAATTTTAGGCCAGAGCCATTGGGGGCTGTTCAAATGTAGATCTAATCTTACACCTTATTTGGGACTTTTGCCCCCCCACCCCTCTTTCTTACACTATTTTTTACTCCCCCCCCCCCCCCACAATCCCGTAATATTACATTGTTCGCTTTAATAATAATAATAATAATAATAATAATAATAATAATAATAATAATAATAATAATAATAATAATAATAATAATAATAATAATAATATGATATAATTTATACAACGCAAATCCGTGTAACAATCATTGTTCTATGCGCTAAACATAATATTCATGAAAAACATGCTTACACACATACATGCTTACGTACATACGTGCACATAATATATAATATCACGTTTTACAATCACTAAAAAATAACAAGAGTAGGCCTAAATCGCACATGCTCCGCGCAATTTACCGATCGGCGCAATCTTCAGATTGTTAGATTGTGTTAATATTTTATATTTTTAAAATGACTTTATAAAATGTTCACTGCCATCTTTATTCGTTTACTCTCATCAAGGTACATTCACATACATTTTCAAAAGTCTAAAAATATCTGAAGAGCCCACAAGAATGACACAATGCCAGGTATCAAACTCAAAGTTCACTTCACTTCCATCTTTATTCTTTTACTCACATACAGGAACATTCACGTATATATATTATTTTCTAAAGTGTAAAAATAGGGAAATTAAAATTAAGATATGAAACTGAAGAGCCCACAAGAACGATACAATTATACGATCGTTAAAACGCGTATTATTATTAGATGATATTGCGTTGATCGGTTAATTGCACGGAACACATCCACTCTTTCTTACTAATACAGAAAAAAATTGACACTCATGCCAATGCTAAAAGCGCCTTAATGACAAATAAAACAAATTACAATGGCGTTCTGATAAAATCAACACATCTGTAACGAAAAAAGTGTAATATATGATATTATTTATTGATTCAAGATTCCCCTCCCCCCTCTTTCTTACACTTATCTTACAGGAGCCAAAGACCGCCCCTTCCCCTTCCAGGCGTAAGATTATATTAGAATGCGTTAGACCGTAGCTTTCGTCTCATCACAATGGGTCGAAGTTTTGAACTTGTGCGAATACTGATCCGTCAAATACGAACTCAGGAAGTGAAAAAGAAGTTAGATATAAATTTAAACTCCGTCATGAGCATAACGTAATGCTTATAAATACCTGCAGTTTCTAACTCAAACTAGTGTCGGCATGTAAGTTACAAATAATTATGCAGCGCGCGCAGTTCCACGCTATTACAACGCAATTCCAGACTTCAAGAGGTTTTTGTAGCTATTGCAGAGTGTGTGTGCATAGTGTGTATGTGTGTGTGTGTGTGTGTG